CTAGCAACAACAGAAACCAACTAGAGTGGCAGGCATCTCCACCAGCAACCAACAAAATGTATTGCTGGCGAGCTAAGTCTTGTCTTCTAGGCTTTTAGTTTTGTATTCTGAGTTTCCCTAGATCTTTATTTTAGTTCAATTATATGGGTAGACAAATACTGAAGAAGCTGAAATGAAAAGATCAGATACCTGTACTTCACTAAGGATGACTGTGGACCCCAGATTCTCTAGGGAAAATCTTCAACTCTGAACCCTGACTTGACCTCCCACTGACCCTGAGACCTCAGGCAAGCTGGACAGGCGGGAGTAAAGGCAGGACCCACATGCAGTTCTCCAGCTTCTATCTACTGCATGAAGATATGAGAAAGACTTACTAGTGCCAGAGATCACTTTGCCTCTGAGACACCATCTCTTGCCACCAAGCACAAGAACTCTTACAAAACAAAGCCAATATATCCAAACAAAGGAAAATAAACCTTAACTTATACCACATACAAAAATTAACTCAAAATGAATTCTTGACCTAAATGTAAAACCTAAAAAGCTTCTAGACTAAAACATAGGGAAACATCATCATAACCATGAGTTAAGCTTAAAACAAAAGCATGAGTCACCACAAAAAAAGATAAATTGGACTTTATCAAAATTTAAATCTGCTTTTTGAAAAACACCATTAAGAAAATAAAAAGACAACCCACATACTGGAAGCTGATATTTACAAAACTCATATCTGATAAAGGACTTGCATCCAGAATATACAAAGAACACTCAAAACTCAATAATAAGAAAACAAGCATCCCAATTTTTAAAATATCAGTGAAAGATTTAAACAATAACTTCATCAAAGAAGAGATTTAGATGACAAATAAATGCATTAAAAATGTTAAATATAAATAGTCATTAGGGAAATGCAAATTAAAACTGTGATGAGACACTATTACGCACCTATTAGAATAGCTAAAGCAAACAAAAAACCAACTGTATCAAGTGCTATAGAGGATTATCGTTGCTGGTAGAAGTATAATATGGTACAGACACTTTGGAAAACAGTTTGGTGATTTCTTGTAAAGTTCAATATACACCTGACATATGCAAATGATTCCACTTCTACTTACTAAGAGAAATGAAAACATGTATCTGCCCAAAGACTTGTATGTGAATGTTTATAGCAACTTTATATAACAGCCTAAAACTGAAACTAACTAAAAAGTCCACTAACTAGCAAAGAGTTAAACAAACTGTGGTAACCTATGGTCTATAACGGAACACTACTCAGCAATAATAAAGGAACTACTGATGTGTGCACCAACATGGAAGGGTCTTAAAAGCATTATGCTAAATGAAAGAAGGAAGACACAAAATATGACATTCTGGAAGCGGCAAAACTAAAGGAACAGAAATTAGATCAGTGGTTACCAGGGACTAGGAGGGGGATAGATTTTCTATAAAGGAACACAAGGGAATTTTTTTTTGGGGGGGGCAAAAGTATTCTATATTCCATTACTGTCTATGTTGTTAGAAATCATCAAGCTCTACATCTGAAAAGGGTGAACTTTATTATATGTAAATTATACCTCAATAAATCTGACTTTAAAAATGATAATAATAAGGGCAAGAGTTGCCAGTCTGCCCGTGGGAATATGAGTGGCTTGTTGCACGCTGGCTTCCCAAACATCTGGATTTCCCGTGCCCTACTGGCTCCCTCAAAAGCACAGCATTCCTACTGCGCTTCCTAGTGGGACTCCAAAAAGGAGAAGCGTTAGTCTAGAAACGACTCAGGAGGGTAGGACATCTAGGTACTAAAGTCCCAGCTCAGCTTCTGATATTAACTTGGGCAAGTCACCCTCAGCTCAGTTGCAAAATGAGGGTTTTTTTACTTCCTTCCAATAAATTGTGTTTCTACACCCTGAAGGCCTCAGGAAAGCACAGGGCCCCGTACCTTCCCAACCTTCAGAGGCCCCTTTTCCTACCTCCAGGTACTGTAGTGGACCCCCTGGCCCCCAAAAGACTTAATTCTCAGGAGTTCGACAAGAGAAGCAAATGGGTCGTCATCATCCCATAAGGCTACACCCCTTGATTGTTATAAATGAGGTCAGGAGACAGTAGCTTCCAAAACTTCCTGTCATTATCACACACACTCCGTTGTCTTTTGAGGACTGGGCATATCCCACATGCAAATGTTCATGAGCAACTTAGGCTCCCCGCACACAACAGCAGAGGCAACATCCTCTGCCTGGCCTCCAGGGCTCTGTCCCATGGGAGCTTCCCTCTTTAGCCTTGAGCAGGGACAGCCACTAGACAGGCTACATACCTCTGCAAACTGGGCAGCTGTGGACTCAACCTCTGGTCCTGAATATCAGAGCCTAAATTCCCATTTCACCACTTACTATTTAATAGTATACTAGTTGTATAACCTTGGGTTAAGATATTTAACCTCTCTAAGCCACACTTTCCCCTTTAGTAAAACAGGGATAATAATAGTACCCATCTCACAGGGCTGTTGGGTTGATTAAATAAATCAGTACATGTCAAGTTCTTAGAATAGTGTAGCATGCACTTAGTGTTAGTTATTATGATTTAATGTGACTTAATTTGAAAACTGTCATTTCTTGTGAGACCTAGAAATGCAGAGGTTGCTTTATGAATGTTCAATGCCAGAAGATGAATAAATGTCTTGGTGTAGAGAGAGTGGTTGCTGGTGTCAGATCCAAATTATACTCATACTTGAAGTTGCTACTTGGATTTTTTCTCACCAGAGGTAGGTAGGAATGGGGAGTTTTTAGGTTGATTTTGAATCCAAGACTTCTCTAACAAAGATGTACTTTCAAAAGTAGATTTAGGGGTGTGAGAAGACAGGGAGGGTTACTCAAGTAAAACAAAACTGTTCCAGTATGCCTGTATGGTGGCCATGCTATCTTTAAAGTTCTGTACATAAACCAATTTCTATCGAGGAAACAAGGCACAAAGAAATTCCCATATGGACACTAGCAGGATTTGCTGGTGTCTGGGGAAGATTATAAATTAGCTGGTTGCTGTTCACATGAGAGCCAAGCAGGGCACATTCAGTTTTTAATCTGGACCAATTTTCCGGATCAAAAACTAGTCTTTCCAAGGGATGTAAATGAGCCCAGGGGGAAAATTTTCCCTGAAGTTTATGAAGTAGCTGTCATTTTAATCTGAGCAGCTTTCCAACCTGAAAGCCAGTGTCTGGATAAAATTATAAAGTAATGAAAAACTCTTCTAGGCTGAACCTAGTCTAAAAACTCCTTCTACATCAAATTTGATGCAATTAATATGCCAAAATATTTAAAAGGTAGAGTTTCCACTATCAAAACCCTATCTATACTTCAAGTAAAATCAAAGAGGCCAACGTGACATATTAATGGCATGAATATCAGAATGAGACCCTGAATTAACCAGATAAAAAATATTTTTAGGGGAGAAACTACAAAAAATAAGAAAGGAAATATTGTGAACCACATAAGCAGGTTTATACAGCAGGCTTTTGTAAAACACTTTTTAAAAATTCTACTTAAATGGAATCAAATCTATCCTTAAAAGAACATTCCATACACTGGAACTATAGGTATAATTATGCCTTAAGAACTATAGGTATAATTATGCCTTGTTAAAAATTGTCATGAGATGGCTTTATGTGAATAAACCTGCAAAATGTGATTGATCATGATGTGGTTATCTTAAGGAGGAAAGTTATTAGGAAGCCCTTCATTGAAATCCTTGAAGGTGCGTGAATGTGTGCATGCAAGAAGAGAAACAATTAAATATACTATTACCTTTGACTGCGGCTATTAGCTCCAAAATGAATTAAACAGTGCGTAAATGGAATGGCTCATAATTTAAGTGTGGTGCAGATTATGATAATAACCCTAAATTTCAAGGCTGGTAATAAGGTGCTTGTTTTAAGAGATACAGCCTAAAGACTGAAGGTGTTTCCAGAGCTGAAAGGCAACAAGTCATATTTCCAGATAGAGAGATGCCATGTGAAAATATTTAAGCAGCCATGTAGGAACCTGCTAAGACTATTTTCTTTGCCCTCTGATAAATTTTCATAGGTTTGCCTCTTTCTCATAGAAACATTTGTGAAGACAAACTGCACTTGTCTGTGAGGTTTTGCAGACTGCATTCAAACAGTTATATTGTTTCCTATTGTTCATAAGATATAATTAATCCCATAAGACAACCTCGCTTACGAAGTAAGCTAAGAAAAAACAGATTTTTCAAAATTCTAAATACGGTCCCAGCAAAGAAGAATAAAAATCGTTATTTGGGGAACAATTGTTTAGAACTTTATTGCTTAGAATGTTCTACTTTGAATAACCTCACAACACAGGCCAAATCAAAGTAGACAAAAATACACGAAGACTTTTTACCTATAAAACTAGAGGAAATAACAAGTTACAGTGGTTTCAAGTTCTCCCCAATCCTTTGTAACAGCCTGCAAAGCATACATCTTTGTTGAAAGAGCAGAGCAAAGACAGGAGTTCAAAACACTGTAAAATTAACCCACTGGGTGCTCCTTTCTGAACCAATGGCCCCAGAATGGAAGAAGATCCTAACAGCAGAGTCGGCATCCCTACACAGAGCGTGGGCAGGACCGGAGATGGCAGAGGCAAACAAACCTTCAGTCACTTAACAGGAAATGTCCGGGCTCTGGACAATACCAAGTCAGTAAGCTGTAATAGAGACAGCGAGATCGCCGCCCCGGCTCTCAGCTCTCTGTGTTCGAATACAGCGACCACCACCTCTACTGTGTCTGGAAAATTAATCATTCTTCTAACAAACAAATATGCCTGGAACCGCCTGAGCTGGGGGGAGGACGAGGCTCGCGTCTCTCCTCAGGTCCGGGCAGAAGTGAAGCGGGTTAAACTGACGCGGGTCAGGGGAGAGAGGGGCGGCGCGCCGCCCGCGCAGCGTCCTCGCCAGGGTGCGGGACAGGGGCGCTCGGGGCGTGGTGCCCGCGGGCGGACCGAGCGCTTTACCTGGTTTTCCGAGAGCCGCTCGGGGCGACGCGGCGCCGGGTTGCAGGCTGGAAGCCAGGAGCAAGAGCCGGAGCAGGACGCCTCGGATTAGATCCATCTCGCCGCCGGCGCCTGCAAAGTTTCTCCAAGTCCCGGGCGCGCAGGGCAAGGGCGTCTCCCGCGGGGGAGTGGGGGACGCGGCCTCCTTGGACCCCCGGGCAGGGGTGAAGAAGTGGGGGGCGAGAGGGCTGGAGCAGGAACGACCAGGGAGTTGCAGGAGGCAGGACAGCAGCCGGGAGGGAAGCCGGCCTCGGAGCAGAAGGGCGTTGGGGACGGGGGCGGCGACGAAGGAGCCGACTGGGAGGGACGGGCCGCGGGAGGAGGGGAGGCTCGACCGGCCCAGGGATGAAATTACAGGCGAGTGGAAGTGAGAGGGGCAGGCCCTGAAACACTTCCCTCCTCGCCCACCTCGGGAGCAGACAGCCCTCCCCTCACCCCCTCCAGGGACCCCCCACTTCGGCCCTTCCCCGCTGGTGACCTAGATCGGGGGCCTGGGAGGGGCCGACTTCAACTGCGAGAGATACGGGACAGGAGTTAAGTGGTGGAGGGTCTAGGACCCTCTGAGACCCTGAAATCTTGGGGTGCCTCCCCTCCCCCTGGCTGGACCCTCCTCTGGCCGCGCCCCTCTAGGTCGCTTCCACCCAGCTTGGCGACTTTTCCTGACACCTCCAAGGTCCCTGTCTGTCCAGCGCACTTGAGGGAGCGAGGGGGGCGGGGTGAGGGGAGCAGGGGCGGGGCCGGCCGGGGCCGTGGCGCTAAGAAGATAAATGGGATTTAAGGCGCGCAGATGGAGAGCCCCGGCCCGGCCACTCAGGCGCGGACGCCGAGTGGAGATTAGAGCCTGGCGCGGGGAGTGGGGCCTTCCCGGCAGAGGAAGGCAACTTGAGACCCTCCAGGGGAGGAGATGAAACTCCAGGTTAAGCCTGGCATCTGGAGAGGGACGCAAGCCTCCGCACCCTGGAGACCGAGAGGACCGCGGGAAGGGGCGCCCGCGGCTGGGCTGGGCTGGGGCTGGGGGCCGGGAAGGGTCCTGTCACTGATCCCGGGATCAGGTTCCTGGTTGGCTCCGACTGGGGAAGCCCCCTTCTTCTCCCAATTTCCTGAGCCAGGACTAGTAAAACGCGCTTTTGCCGGGTTTCGCGTAGTGCCCCGACAGGAGAGAGACCCTGGGACACAAGTCCCTTTGCTCACCGGCGTTCTGACCTCCAAGCCAGCAGAGGAGAAAGCAGATTCAATAAATAAACCTAGAGGGAATAAACTGAGAGGAAACGCAGCCCTTGCAGATCCTGGGGAAAGATCAAGGCCCCAGGAAATGCCCCGCGGAGGAAGCTGCAGTCCCTGGCCTAGAGGACTTGCAGGCCACTGCCGCCCGCCCCACCTTGCAGCTCAGCCAGGGGTCGGTGGGCGTCTCTGCTCTTCAGTGTTAACCTACCTTTGGGGAGAGGAGAGGAAACACTGTTGTCTGATACGTTCCCCTCCCCCAAAGATTTCTATTCCTCTTTAAAGCGAAGTATCCCTAGCCAGAGGGTTTGTAATGAGCTCAATCTTGTTAGTTAGCAAAGCCAAGGGCTATGTTCCCTTGGCGTTTGCAAGTGTGCAACTGTCCACAATAATTCAAAGTCCACTCCAACTTGAATACTTGGAAATCTTAGCTGGGACACCAGAGCTTTGTCCTCTTACACGGAACTAGAGCAGAAAAGTTCTGGACAGAGCAATGCTCTATCACTTCCAAGGTGACACAGGAGCAAGTCCAGAAAGCTAGGCAATGTGAAAAGGTTGCGGAATCAGTTATCAGGGCCCCTGGAGGTCACCTAGGCCCCCGCCCCCATCCCACACAGGAATCTGCTTTCAGCATCCTTGTCAGCTCATGCCACCTCCCTTTTGATCGCCACCTCTTGTCAGAGAGGCCTACCTCACCGCCAGCCGGCCAGCTGGGAAGTCGTTGGACAGGTCTCTTTATGAGAAAAAAGATTTCCTTTACCAGACTTAATGTGGCACCCAGAACCAAGAAAGCATTGCAATACAGATACCTCCTGGCAGGTTCTGCTCTTTCCTACCTAAAATGATTCCCCCTGATGCAGAAACTGAAAGTAATGATAATCATTAATGTATGGCTACCATTTATGCAGCATCTTCTATGTACCAGCCCTTCTTTTTAATCCCAGTAACAACCATACCAGATAGTATTGTATATTATTATATCC